GATGCAACATTTGTGCGGATAGCATGGGGTCAGCTTTGAGCATCTCTGCTGATATGCGATCGACCCCTGGAGCCTTGTTGGATTTCATGCTTCGGATAGCTGCTTCAATCTCCTGCAGTGATGGGGCCTCGGAATTGACGCGAGTGATGCGCCGCACCCTAGGCGGATCATGCCGAGATGTTGATGGCTGGTTGGCCGTCGAAACTTGAAGAAGTTGTTCGAAGTGCTCAAACCAGCGTTTCAGCTGGTCAGTGGGGTCGGTAAGCAATTGTCCAGTCGTGTCCTTCACTGGCATCCTCGGGTTCATCCTTGCTCCACTCAGGCGTCGTGAGATATCGTAGAGGAGGCGTATATCGCCAGTGTTTGCGGCTTTCTCCCCTTCGTCGGCCAGGGAGTTCACCCACGCTCGCTTGTCCCGTCTGCAAGAGCGCTTGACTTCCTTCTCTAGAGCCGAGTACCGTTGACGGGCTTCGTTCTTGGCTCCTCTGGTTCTCGTCCGCTCTATCGCGGCTTTTGCTTCTCTACGCTCCTCAATCTTCCGCCAGGTTTCATCTGTGATCCACTCTTTCCTCTGGGTGCGCAGCTCACCCAAGTTGTTCTCGCTTGTTTCTATAAAGGCATTCTTGATGGCCGTCCATTGTTCTTCTACGCTGCCACCTTCTGGAACGTCCGCAGCTCGAGTCTCAAGTTCTTCAACAAAAGACCTTTTTACCGCTGGATCTTCAAGTCGGCGTGTGTTGAACCGCCGCCCGAGTCTCTCCTCCCGTCGCTGGATCCGCGCCATGCGTAGGCGGATTTCACCGATTAGAAGGTGATGGTCAGACGCGATGTCGGCGCTGCGTTTATTCCGAACATCAAGAAGGCTCCTAGTAAGACAGGATTTTTGGGGAAACTTTTGCTTGAATCGTGGAAGAAAACGTGTTTGCAAACTAACTGTTATTATTTTGGTATGGATCGGAGATGTTTTCATGGAAAATTATGCATAACAAGCTTGCACCCACAGGTAGAGGTTACCTCCTGCGCAGCTGCATTTTTCAGAACATGGTGAATATGAGCGATTTCCACTAGGATGAAAGTGGAAATTAAGTGAATTTACTTAGGAAAGATTGTATCATGCTGGTGATACTGGAGAAATGGTTGTATAGGACGGCAAAATTCAATAAATGTTCATTTTCGCCTTTTTTAGGTAAACATATTGATATTAAAAATGTTCGACGGAAAACGCAAAGTAGCTGAGTGGAATGGAGATAAGTTAAGCATTGGATACAGGACCAAGTCCCTGGGTGGTGCCAGAAGATGAGCGCAATAGAATCATCAAGTTGCCATAAGGCACGGAATGAGACTATATTGCATGGCTGGGTAGTCAAAGTCTTCCATTCGTTATTCATTTCAGGTGGATTAGAACAGGTTTAGGTTTAGGGGGGGCGTTGGCCAGATTTGGATATTTCAGATATAATCCTAAATAGGACCTAGATTATTTAATACACTAGTAACCTCAACCTCTGTCACAATGTTTCATTGTGATTAATCAACACTCAATGGGTAAAATATCAAATTTGCCGTAAATTTGAAAAAAGGGAACTTGGAGTGTAGAGCGCACTGCCCACTGCACGATTCTGAAGCCTGACCAAGTGAGTGGGTTACGGGTTTATTTGATTGTACGTCATTTCCAAGTTATATATAGATACATTCATACCATTGGCATTTTGTATTTGAGATAAGACAGAGACAGGATGCGGAGGGCCCGCTTTGGGGAAGCGTAACCCATGTTATGGCTTCCATTTATTAAATAGTTCAGATAGGCTGGAAATGATAGGTTCATGGTGAGAAAATGTACCATATGGTGCCCGTTCACTGATCAAAATTATATTCAAATCGTCAGGCCCTGCCCTGGAATAAGGGGATTGACGATGATTTATCAAGTTTCATTTTGCATTTGCATATAATTGTAAGTTTAGGTTTGCCTTTGTAATTGTAAGATAGATAGTTTGCCTCAATTGAAACATTGAGTTGTATAAACTTAACGAATCATACCTCTAAAATAGTAGTAGTTACAGTGCCGCATGATCTAACAACCAGTGCCTGCAACTAATGTTGGAGGGGCCGGCAGATCTGATTACGGATCAAAACTAACATAACTCTAACACTGAAATGATCCAGAAACTAACGCTCATTCATTGCACTTTGTGTCATTAAGTAGTTTTATTTATTTTCCTACTAATCTATCTACACACTTAGTTTTTTCTACCGAGCTCGGCTGTGCGGGTCTCGGCGGGAGTGACATTTGATTGCTGAGTCTCGGATAATGCCTTTTCTAATAATCTGCCTACGTTTCTTTTCTTAGTTATCTACATTCCTCTTCTCTTCTTTTGTTTTGTTTGTTTACATATAACTAATACTAATACCTCCTTGTTTTCTCTCTAATTTGTCTACTATGTCCCACCCTCACGATGAGAGATGAGCTACCGTACATGGTACACGCTCATATACACTCCCAAAATAGTATGCCGCAAGTAAGTATATCACAGAGGCAACTAAAGATCCAGAAACAAAAACCGATAACGCTGAATATAATGAGCTGTGGTGATTTATATGACTATATAGTATTATTTATTTATACTAACCTAAACACAACGTGGGGTGACCCAAATCCAAACGATCACTAACCAAAATAATAGACTTATCTTTTTCAGCAGGTCTAATTTCGTTTAGTTCTGTTTCTCTCTTTTCAGCAAAACAACAACAAAAAAACCTCTATAACTCTTCTCCATTCTTTAAATCTCCTACTATCCCCTATAAATGTATCGGAAACTAGTGGGACTGTCTGTGCAAACAGAAACAGGCCTGCTAGTGGAAGAAGGTCGTTATGCTATACGGTCTAGCATAGGCCTACGGCCAGGTTTCAGTAGGTACACACTCGCTTAACGGCAGATTGGTTTACAGTGGTGTGTGCTGATAAATTACAATTACAATTACAAGATTAAAAATCATCTTTATTTTGAGTAATTGAGCAATTTACTTCTGTTTACATCATATGTACGATGCAGCATTGATGGAGCTGTGAAATGAAATGAATATATCTTATGAAATTTCATCTGGAAAAGTGTCTGATCGTGAAATCTTCTTCAATTCGAATGTTATATTGGAAGGATTTTACGCAGGCTTGATGAAAATTATGATTTAATGCAAATTTTCACGAATTTTATATGCAGTCTGTCAACATTATCATCATCATGCAGTGGCGACATCTGCGTCGAGCTTTTACGGCAATCTCCCAATTGCGAACAAAACTTCGGGAACCCTTTTCTCGTGACTCAAGGCTGGCCTACGCAAAAGTTTCCCCTATTCGATGATGCTGGTAATTTGCGTTCGATTGGCGAGGAAGGAATAATCTACGTTGTGTTTATAAAAGTTGATAGTACATTTTCAATTCTTGGTCTACACTATATTGAATTGGTTCCGCTTTTTGATGGATCGAAATTCTTCATTCCTTTATTTAACGTCGGTCTCTGTCCCGCAATCTAGTGCCAATCACCGACGGACATCGATTGCAATCCATTGGCGTTGACGGCGACTCTGTAGCTCTTTACTCCAATGGTAAAATCCATAAGCAAACGTCAGACTGTGCGTGAAACATGGCGGACTTCGTACTATCTTTTCACTCCACTGAAAATTCGTATAAGAAACTGTCAATCTTTGCTAGAAGAGACGATTTTTCGGCGGTGCCGTCAACGCCAATTGACGGCAATCGAATGTGCAGGAAGGCAGCTTCCACACCTGCGTAGGATATCGCACCCATTCAAACACACATGGGCCGGGACCAACGGCTTTACTGCCCTTCCGAAGGAAGACGTGACTAGAGATTTTTATGCCTCAGAAAAATCCCACCGACCTCGGCTGGGATTGAACCCAGACCCATTGGGGTGTGAGAAAGCAGTCACGCTTACCACTACACCACCGGCGCCGGCAGAAATAAAATCAACCCGCGGACAGTTCACGCAAAGATGAATACTAAGATGAAACTGTCGGAAGAAAAACTTTCTATTTTAGTGTCTTCTTTCACGGTCCCTTTCATCCAATGAGAACCCCCCGTATTCAAGGTAATTTTGTGGTTTTGCTGCCCCCTCGCAAGAGATGAAATTTTGCGCTCATTTTTATCAAAACAATCACACCAAAATCAGAGATGTCCCATTTTTTAATTACTCGATTAACAACTAATCGATTATTTTTTGTTCGCTGTGCTGCCATTTTTCCACCAATGAGAGTGCAGCACATGTTTGAAACGATCGGTGATGATCCTGTGGAGATGTTAATGCTTATATCGGCATGATCTAACCGATTATAAATAGTTTACTTTTCGGTTCGTTAATCGATTAAACGATTATTCAAATGAAAATCGGACATCACTAGATGAATGTGAAACGTCATTTCAAATATAAGGCCGTTCATAAATAATGATACAATTTGAAAGGGACTGGGGCTAATCACAAATTACGTCTTGTTACTATTGTTGTGTATTGAGAACGCTTGCGCAAAAAGACTAAGGGAGGGAAACGGATTCGAAATTCATATGTCATTAGCCAAATACATCCGTAGACCATAGGTCCACCGTTGTATAATTGGCAATGCACCCGTGTACTGAATGGGAATTGTGGGTTCGAATCCCACCGGTGCCCTTAGATTTTTTCGCAAATTTTCTCACACGCACGTCTCTTGCCGATGATATGTGCTAACCTCTCAGTATCTTCTAACTGTCGCATATAACAAAATAAAAATTGACTTTCAGTCGCTAACCTAAATCGACAACCTATAATACTATACAGAACAAAAGTTTCTCAATTTTCATATTTTTTTTTTGTAAATATAGGCTGGGGTAATGTTTCGGGATTATTTTTTGATTGATTCGGACGGGAAACGATTAATGAAGTTGTTGATGCATAATATTCCAGCTGATAGCCGTCCTAGGAGTTTTTCGGACCATTCAATATTGAATAACTTAGTTGCTTTCTGAAATCAATTTTGATTGTATAATTTTGCGTTTGTTTAGTATACGAATCTTAGAAATGATCCTTCTCACAATCTCCTCATTCCGGATCGAAACGAATCAATTGTGCATCTACGAGAAATGCATACTGACGAATTGATCGCGATTTTTGAACTGACCCCAGACGGCCGAATTGGTCGCCGATTTGCCTGGGTCGTTAGATTTTGCACTGCCGAATGTGGACCCATTATTGGTCATTTTCATCTTTTGAATGCTACTACCGAGATTGGCCGATGATTTTTCTGGCTGGCGCAACAGCGCACTGTTGCCGTTGTTCTGTTGGCCGCCCATGTTGCGAGTTTTTGTCTCTTGCACCATTTTGCTTCCGTTTGTCTGTTGGCTTGCGGTTCTGGTATACACAGTTGAAAACGGTGGACTGCTGGACTTCCGTCTATTCAGGGCACGTACTGGATTTGCGTGAGCACTTGGAACTCCAGCGGGTTGCCTGAGTTTCCTGTACGGCTTCCTTTGCGAAGGCTAAGGTTGTTGATCAGCCTGGGGAAAGCAAGGGAATTTGGTTTCAGGTGATTAGCGTCATTGTAATAGAGGCAAATGGAAGACTCGATAGAAGACTGTGAATCGTGAGTGATAGCAAGATCGGTGTGGCTTTAACTGGGTCATTTGCGATAAGACGTAGGGGCACTTGAATAAGCGCTTGTCCAAGCAGTTAGTCTACTCGTACTTGACCTTCTTCCTTTATACTGGATGTTTGATTGATTATTTTACTGTTTAGATAAAGTAAGCTTATTATAGGCTGTTAGCTTTTGGTTCTGCTGTATTTGTATTAATATAAACCCAGAGAATTTCACATTTATATTTCCGCGTTTTTCGCAGAGCATGGACTAGCGAAAAGGGGAATTATTGTACAATTTAAATTGTCGGGAACTCTGTAACTCTTTAGGGGATTGTCCATAGGCCAACATTAGAGCCACTTCCCCTACCATGTTGAGATAAGGAACACATAATCAGTTTCTCAGTTTTGTCAATGGTCGTCAAGTTTTTTTTGTGCCGATGTAGAAAATACTGGAAAATAAACTGGGAAATTACACTTATAGGTCATGAAAATGAGACCCACCATGGAGTTTCAGCTTAAGCTTTTTTAGTTGATATATGAGATTCTCGAATTAGACACTTAAGGCCTTTGAAGTTGATCCAAAATCTATGAGATAGATCAAAAAGTTGATGATAATGAACTCATAAGGCCTGCGAGCTTATTAAACCATGGCCCACTTAGTAATAGAATAAACTCTTGGTTATTACAGAGATCCTAGTGGACGCTTTAAGAAACTTTTGACGTCCATTTGTCGACAACAACAATAACAATAACAGTGTATTTTTTTCAGTTTATAAAACGCTCTTGTTTTGGAGACAGTCACCATGCAAGAGGAGCATAGAAAAAAAAATGGTGCGGGAAACCTTGACCGAATTCGCTACCGCGAAGGCTTACAGGCATACCGCGCCAGCAGGCAACCAAATCAATCACTCAAGCAGAATACAGTAGCTCCGCACTACCGTTCATACTGGCGACAACGCTCTGATGAGACAGCGAAACCTTACCCCCAAGCTCCTCCCCTGATCCTATCCTTCGACAATGTACCTTTCTAACCTCGAGTAAGCCCAACTCCTACTAGACATAGAATTAAGTGAATTTTGTTACAAACAAAGAACAATGAACTATCGGCTCCGTAAAGCTAACGCGATTGAGCCTTCCAAATAAACGAACTAGTTAAAAAAAAAAAAGAATACCGTAGCTAGAACCCGTGCTCGAAAGCTGTATGACAACCTGCTGATCAAGTCCGGTGGGTGCATACTTATGTATGATGAAACCTACACACTTAAAAAATTTTTCGCCGAGAATCCAACAGCCGAGTATTTCTGCAATTTATTTAGCTGAGATTCAGTAAAACAATTGCCGATACTCAGCTAACAAATAAAATTTTGCTGAGATATCAGCTAACAAACAGATATTTTGCAGATATATCAGCAAAAGTTACTGCCGAGGTAATCGGCTGTTGGAGATTTTACCGAGCTAGATTAAGTGTGTATGTAAAGGCCAACTTCGGACAGCTTCCAGGAGCAACATTTTACAAGGCGAAGGCTCGAGGAGGTGTCCCTGGCAGAATCAAATTTGTTTTTGCGGATAAATTCGCACGCAAATTTATATGATTTGGCCTGCGGCCAGAAGACAAAGGTTTTCGTCCCTGAGAAAATAATGAACTCGGAGGTTTACAAAACTAAATGTCTCCAGAAGCGAATTCTGCCCTTCATCCAGTGACATTTTGGCCGGATCTTAAGCAACTTGGTTGGTGGTGGTCTATAGAATTCTAAGCAGCTTCATTTTTAAGACGTTATAAGAACTTGAAAGTTCCTGTATCATAATTGAAGAGCATTCTAAGCAGCTTCTGGCGGAACTTGAACGGAACTTTAAGAAAATAAATTAAGAAAGGCTTTCGTCCTCTACATCAATTCTATATTTAGTTCGCACTTTTATGAATGTTTTTTCTAGGCAGGTGTTCCCCTTCCCGATGATATTGCTGGTTTGCGTGGGCGACACTCGGTTGGCGAGAAAAGGGCCTACAAAGGTTTGTTTACAAAAAGCTTGTATGCCCTTTTCACATGTTGTTCTGGAATTATGATTTATTCGGGCCACTGATCATTTCATATTTACGTACATTAAATTTTGTTACTAATAAAGACTTGTGCGGATTGCTTCATGTGGCTTGAAAGTTCTATCGGAACTTTATTCGAACTTTATGGAACTTGAAAGTTCTGTCGGAACTTTATTTGAACTATATAAAACTTGAAAGTTCTGTCGGAACTTTATTTGAACTTTATGGAACTTGAAAGTTCTGTCGGGACTTTATTCGAACTTTATGGAACTTGAAAGTTCTGTCGGAACTTTATTTGAACTTTATGGAACTTGAAGGTTCGGTTGGAACTTTATTTGAACTTTACGGAACTTGGAAGTGATTTTAATCGTTGAATGCGGAACTTTTGGTTACTTAGGTTATCACTCACTCACTCACTCATAACATCGCTGATCGTGACTTTAAGAAAACAAATTTGACAAGTTATATGTGTCAAATACGTACTTTGCAACCTCTTCTTGGTACTTGCCAGTGAGAATGTTTTTATGCGAATTTGAGAATTTGCAAACTTGATCTTAGGAATGATTGCAATTGTAACATTGCGATAACATTTGCTGAGAGATTTACAGAGTTGATTTTACATTGAATTTTGCAAAACAATAACAATAAGACTTGATTTTCAATTCCGCCAGCTCCAGTGAAAATAAATCAATTCCATAGATTTAAACTACGGATTCGTATATTCGTAGAAGTTGATCAATTCCGATAATCTACGGAATTAGCCGTATAAATGGCATCACTGCTCGTTATAATTTATCCCGTAAGGTTAATTCAGATGGCTAATGTTAACCCATAGAATCGCTGTAGTTAACCTAAGCCTCTTAATAGTCCTCTGCTGAAAAGATAAATATGCTGGAATGGTCTCACTATAGATATGCAGATACCCTGTCCGGCCCACAGGACCGCACGTTGGGTAAACCTTATATTGTAAGCCACAGAACAGAAGTGGAATATCGGATCAGAAAGTGGATCCACTTTTCATTGGTGAACACTAGCGCACCTAACGGTAGAAGGCATCTTCTGCCTGCAGTTAAGATAGGCAGCATGCTATGATATTGTGAGTACGCATAGAAAGCCTGTGTGGAGCGCTACCACGCAGAAAAAACACTTTTTGATTCACCGATTGGTTTGCACTTCCCCTTCTGTTCGGTGCTGTAAGCTATCTGAAATAGACCTGTGCGCCGGTTCTTTCATCAGCGGCGGTGGCGTAGCAGTGACGCCGTTGGTTTTAATCAGCGGCAGCGGTGGGCATCGGCGCATCACTATGATGGATGTCATTTTCGGGAAATTTTAGCATCTTTTATTGTATTGATTGATATTCTTTTTCATTCATGAAACTATTATGTCAACCCGTGGACAACATTTAATAACTTCTGAGAACCTTAAGTGAGCTCTTGTCTAGTGACATGATTACGGAATTCTCATGTGATTTCATGTGTCACACTGTAGTTGAAATATTAAAAAATCCCGGTATATGGTAATAATACCAATAATTTAACCCTTTTTGGGTATAATTTAAAAAGACAATTGACACCGTCTTCAACCAGAGGTTGCATACTCCGACTGAACACTTAACACTAGACAACGGACAACACACAACACCGGCTTGGAGCGGGAATCGAACCTTCACTTCGTGGCATTAACAATACGCCTGAACGACGGGTGACACCGCCAGATGCAGTACCACGAAGCCCACAAGGCAGTAGTTGTTGAGAAACACGTGTGAAAAAGCGCCGGCGGCGGAGTACTGGTCTAATCTGGAATTGATTAGTGAGGCCATTGATATCAATCCATGGGACGGGCAGAATTAACTAATCAATTCATTAACATTGTTAACGCATAAAGCCTCTTAGTCTTGACGTTGAGTTATTTGCAGTTTATATTTTAATCAGGATTCGATTAAAAAACGTCTGGAACAAAATGACTTTTAAGATTTCTAGACAAAGTATATATAGTAACCCAACAAACAATTTTAGTTGCGAGGCAGCTTATAAAGGGAAAATTTAGCGGCGTAAGCCATGTTTTGCCTGTATAAGCGTCCTGCAGTTAACACTATTAGTTGCGAAGGCTTCTAGGCATTGTTCGAAAGCACTCCGTAGTTAACCCATAGAATGTCTTGAGTTATCGGAAGCCCTTTGTAGTTAATCCAGTTAAGGCAGCGTTTTCAGACCGTGGAGTGCTTCCGAATAACAAGCACTTGGTGCTCCGCCGAGCACGACCTGAAAACCGATAAAACTTCTGAACTCCTAGGACGTCTACGAAATCAGGCAAGTTATAGTTAAACACGTAAAGGAATCTCGTACAATAAAACACGTGAAAAAAGCGTTATCAATCACTTTAAGTACTTATTTTCATTTTCGTATAGACTTTGGTATTGAGAAATAGATTAATTAACAAAGTGAATCTTTGGAATAGGAATCACCACCATAGACAAACCTAAAAGAAACACATTCAATTCGATCCATCTAGATTGTTCTAGTCTGGTAGTGTCAAGACGAGAAGCTCTTGCGGAAATACATTCGATTATTTTTTGTTTTGGAAGAGCAAGTTATCCTTGTCAGCTTCCATGAAAAAAAAAACCGGTTTCAACAACAAAAAACAAAGATTTCTACTTCGGCCCCATTATCTCATCAAACCTTTCTTCATCAGAGTGTGGAAAAACAACGAATTTCATCAACAATATTAATTCGGTTTTACTTGATGCTTTTAGGGTCTCTTTGATGGTTTTCCGTTGCTGTCTGATGAAATTGAGCCCAAAATTGCATCACCTTGTTCGGAACTGCATTCTCAATACTCCGGGGCTGTAAAGCTTTGTAATTCAAATCGTATGAATTTAAATACCGGTTCGGCTAGACAGAAACAGGTATCTTTACACAGAGAAAATAATCCGAAGGTGTAATAAACTGGATCCAGTGAACTGCAGCCGTTCACGTCTCACCACTGAATGTTGCCGAATATGGCCACTATCACCACCGGTTAATTGTCGGGAACATGCTTTCACTTCACGATACCCAAATCACAGCCTCCGTTCGACAGAGAGTATCCTTATAGATCCTAAGTGCGTTTAGCCTTTGTCCGGCAGGATAATTACCTTACAGACGGAATGAATTTCAACGCAGAATCTGATTCTACTAATAACATTGACACCAATAATTTTTTGCTTCCACGTAAGGAAGATCGAATTGAATGAAATTAAAATAATCCACCGTTAGGTTTGGACTACGGTCACTTTTGAACTGATGCCTGACAAACGACACGTAGGTCCTATTTATACCCTCCAGTCTGCCGGTTGCGTGTATGGATGAGCAATCTACACAGCAGCCACTGAAAACCTGTTATTCAAAACCAAGAGAACTGGTTTTGTCCATTTGTTATTCGTACGTATTTATGCAAATAATGCAGATAAATATGAAACATTTGAGCGAGCGCACATTGGGATCCTGCTAAGGAAAGTGTCCGTCATAATGCACCCAACGACAGGATCGCTGGTGTTTGGCATTCAGAGGTTAGTGAGTGTGCATATGCATTCTTATCGTATTGTCTGTGTTTCTTTTGACTGTCCAAATCATTGCAAGCAGAATAAAGGTACCTGAACCAAGGTGGGCAGTTATTCCACATTTGTTAAGCAGTTTCTGCCGGTTTCTTCTGGATTTTTTTGCGAATGTCATCAAATTTTGTATGTTTATGAAAAAGAAGGACCATACGAGTTGATCGAACTCAATAGCTCTGATCACGCAGCGGGGTTGTGACGGAATATTTTTGCCAATATAGTACTATTGACGTTAGCCTGGATTTCAGCTGTGACTAATTTCTTACTTTTTGTTCTAAAATGCCAGGGGGAAATATTTGTGAGAATTAGCATTGTTTCTTTGTCACAAAGTGCTTTAAATAAACAAGATTCTTTACTCTTGTAGTAAACATATCTTAGTTAGTTAGTTAGTGTATCTCAATTTTAAAATTATCAACGCTGTTTATCTCTTTTAGAGTAACCGCCAATAGCGCGCTTGGCATTTAGAACGTGTCATGCGTATTGTTGTTTTATTTTATTTTATTTTATTTTACTTTAATTATTTTCCTAATCGAATTTTTGTTGTCTAAAGGGTGATACGGTCAAAATTTGGTCAAGGGAAAACGCGTGTAAATCGGTGAAATCGTTTATTTAAAAAATCAAATTAAATTTCTTTTTCAAGTTCAATTAGTATAAAATTCAGGAAAAATATTCAGTTAGGCTTCCGCTTTTCCAAATCCAAATTGCCGGGCCTTACGCTTGACCCCTGCCATCAGATTTTGTACAGCCACCTTGTCCACCTTCTTCGCCGCAGAAAGCCAGTTTGCCTTGAACTGCTGCTCGCCCTTAGCAGTTTTTTGGTCTTCTTTAGGTTCCGCTTGACAATAGCCCAGTATTTCTCAATTGGGCGGAGCTCTGGCGTGTTGGGAGGGTTCTTGTCCTTGGGAACCACCTGCACGTTGTTGGCGGCGTACCACTCCATGGCCTTTTTACCGTAATGGCAAGATGCCAAATCCGGCCAAAACAGTACGGAACAACCGTGTTTCTTCAGGAAAGGCAGCAGACGTTTATTCAAACACTCTTTCACGTAAATTTCTTGGTTGACAGTCCCGGAAGCTATGAAAATGCTGCTTTTCAAGCCACAGGTACAGATGGCTTGCCAAACCAGATATTTCTTTGCGAACTTTGACAGTTTCATATGCTTGAAAACATCTGCTACCTTTCCCCTTCCTTTTGCCGTATAAAACTCCTGTCCCGGAAGCTGCTTGTAGTCGGCTTTGACGTAGGTTTCGTCGTCCATTACCACGCAGTCAAACTTCGTCAGCATCGTCGTGTACAGCCTCCGGGATCGCGCTTTGGCCGTCGTATTTTGTTAATCATCGCGATTTGGAGTCACTACCTTCTTGTAAGTCGATAGTCCGGCTCGTTTTTTGGCTCGATGCACGGTTGTAGACGATACACCCAGCTTATTTGCGGCATCTCGGAGAGAGAGGTTAGGGTTTCGCTTGAAACTACCGGCAACTCTCTTTGTCGTCTCAGCGGCTTCCGGTTTTCGATTTCCCCCCGATCCAGACTTCCTGGCTGTCGACAAACGTTCCCCAAACACTTTAATAACATTTGTAACGGTTGATTTGGCAACTTTTAGCGATTTTGCCAACTTTGCGTGCGAGTAGCTCGGATTTTCGCGATGCGCGAGCAAAATTTTGATACGCTGCTCTTCTTGCTTGGACGGCATTTTGACAACTGAAGAGTGAATTCCAAAATCAAAATAGGAGCAACATTCTACACACACACACCTTCAAAATGAGGGGTGTTCAGGTTTTTTAAATGCAAAATTGAAAGAAATACGTCAAGTTGATATTGACCAAATTTTGACCGTATCACCCTTTAAATAAAGTCTGATGGGAAAAGCCTGTCTGAGTTGGTTTGACTTGCTCATAGATGCGTAAAATCCCCAAGTAATTTCTTAATCTTAACACAAAATAGAATGTGAAATGCAAATGGGGTCTCCCTTAGCTCAGTAGGTAAAGGTTCAGCTATAAATCAAGACCATGCTGGAGGCAGCTGGGTTCGATTCCTGGTCTCGTCTAGCAGTTTTTCTGGACGAAAAATTTTTCAACTTCCCTTGGCATCAAGTATGAGTACAATCCGCCACACAATAATACTTATGCAAAAATGGTACTGGCTTAGAAAGCCCTCCCCTTGGCTAGTTTTTGCACCTTGTTGCTGGTGGGCGGGCTTAATTTCATGCTTTTTAGTGGAGTGTTAGAGACGGTAGGTTCATGGCCGGCGTTGCTGGCTCATGCCGCGATAGAATGGTGCCATGGGCAGGCAATGGGGATTACTAAGCTTCCCCTCTCTGATAAACCACTGCATGAGATAACCAAAGATCTAGTCTAGCAGTTGTAGTATCACACTTGTTACTCCTTTGATTGAGAGCCGCGTCGTAGTACGCTTACGTATAGGCACTGACGTTGGGTGCGATACTGGCGGGTTTTGCCGCAAATCACTCTAATTTTTTTTACGCAGATAGTTTTATTTGGGTTTGCAAGGGAATTATACTACTGAAATATTTCAGAAAGTGCTCAACAGTGCTCCTTCTACTTGCGTGACAAGCTTTCATTGTTGTTTTCATTGAGGTATTACTCAGGGAACAATGCTAAACACCATTTTTGTACATGGTATTGTAACTAATCTTATATGTGCTTCATTTTGATTTGGGATAAGTGTTTGAACTATGACTCGGGATTTCCACTGTGGTGTGCTTCTATTGTGACATACCCATATGTATTTTTGTGGTGCGACATAGTGGAAACGTGAGAGCGTAATTGAACCATTTACCATATAAAATATACAAATTAAAATTAGCTTGGAAACTAACTATAAAGTGAAGCATTTTGGTCACTTGAAGGTGTCACCTGGGACGAACAAAGATATAATTAATATATTTCAAAGCCAGAAGTACTTGAAACATGTTGAATTTTAGTTTAAAAGCATGGGTTATGATTGTGTAGGTAGATTAGAGATTTCAGTTATTTATTGAATAATACTAAATAATCATCAAATGAACTTCAATTAGAGAATTCAGAAAGTTAATTAACATAAGAGATAGAGTTAGAGTTACAGTTATACAATAAATCTTTCTATTTAGTATATTTGTTAATTACAGGCAATGTCAATAGCAATCATATCTTCAATCAGGCGCTTACGAATAAGTGAAGTTTTAGGAAAGCTGTGTTAAATATGTTGATAGGTTTGAAATAAGAATTAGGATTGTTCTGCTTTAGTTTTCGGTAAGGTATGATGTCTCAACTAAACCCTTTTGAGCAAATTTTCAAAAATCAAAATGATTGAGTGATTTATTGAAAGACACCTTCATTGAAACATTGCGTTGCGTTAGAAAACAGTATTCTTCTCTAGCGAAAATTGACAAGTCATACATCTAACATAGTAGTAGTAGCAGTGTCGCATAATCTTATCACAATTGCTGCAAATAGTGCTGGAGGGGCTGGCAGGGCTGAATACGGATCAAAACTAACATATTTCTTAACACTAAAATGATCCCGGAACTAACACTTATGCCACAAACAAACAGACATAACACTAGCAAGTTGTTCATCGAACAAGCATTTAACGGTCAATTTAAAAGTATCGTAGTTGGTAGTACCGCCACCTGTGGCGCGCATAGTCAGTTCCCTTGCGTTTGACGTTTATACACTATCGCCATCTGTTCAGCGTACTACCCACGACAGTGTACTCAACAGATGGCGGTAATGTTTTAGCGACGATGTTTTACAGTGAGAAATATTCAATGTGTTATGTCTGTTTGTCTGTGCTTATGCATTGCACTTTTAGTTATATATTAGTTTTATTTTTCTACTAATTTATATATGCTTCTTTCTATTGTTTGGATCAAGTACAACTAATACTAATCTACCTTTATGTATGATTTGCTCCCTTTTAACCCATTATCTTTATGAATGGCGAATCATATGACGTGAGAAACGTACAAGCTGGAATTCAAAGAAATAACCTAACTCAATGAACTAAGGATAAGGAATAAAAACACTTCGAACAGGATATCAAACAAATTCAGGACCAATCCAAATGAGACCAGAAACCAACAAGGCATCGGGGCGTTATATAATCGGAGAGGTATTTGATAAATAATCAAAAAGTGGTAAGTTAAAATCATAGTGGAGCCAAGGATCATGAGAGGTAGTTGTCAATAATTCATTAATTAGTAGAAATCTCGATAACTTTTTCAGATGGACGTGTCGGATTTTGTGGGCGGTGCGTTTGATCGTCGATTTGGCGTGGCTGGTGGCTCGCCCACGCATGCTATCACTACCATCAGATAGGAAATTAATCCTCTACCTGCTGGTGGTGTTGGTAGGCGTGTGCGAGCTAACAGTTGCGCCGGATCGACGATCGGATGCTTTGTTTGCAGGAGCTGATGCGTCCCTTTGAAAAAGTAATCGAGAAATAACCATATTATCGTATAATTGATATTACTATTTTTATATATCAATGAAATTAGTCATGACAGAGTAACAGAACGAGTTTAAAAACAGATGGGGAAGGACAATAGACACAAGTTGACACAATACATAAGACAAAATGACAAAATAAGTGACGACAGAAGACAAGACTGGGACAAAAATCAACCGTTTAAAAAAACAAGAATGCGCAATTATATTATCAAAACTATTTGGATCAACACAAAAACAACAGTGACCAAACAGGCA